ATTTTTAACAGGAATCGTCTTCATGTACAGTCTCTCCTATTGGATAACAACTAAGTGATAAAACAACAAGCTTCCCCACACCTATTCATATCAAACAATTACACGCAGGTAATAATATATCACAGATTAATCTAATTAGTTAACTCATAACAGATCTAGAAATTGAATTGCGAGTCAATAAATAATGAGATCTTGCATATAATAATTTACGATAAAACTAAGAATTAAAATGAAAATAATCAAGGTTCGGGATCTTGCCTCGGGTATATCGTCAACTGTAGCAGGGATCGTCGGGGTGGTTCCACGAAGATCGAAGGAGGTAGCGGCAGTGGGGAACGCGGGCTTGGAGCAAGGGCGGTCCTGGAGGATCTTGGGTGCTTGGCGAACAGGGGATGCAGTGGTCGGAGGCAGCATCAGAGGCTGATGAGGCGCTGGGGGTTGTTTGGCTCGGAGTTCAGGGAGACGGGGGCCGGTCGGCGATGAGTTTGAGCGGCAACGAAGCGGTCCGTGATGGTCGGGTGGCTGCACGGAGGGGAGGCGGAGTTCGGCGACATGGTGGGCGGTTTTGTTTAGACAGGTCCAATAAGCAGGCGGCGGCTCATGGAAGAGGGTGAGGCAAGCGCAGCTCCGCGGCAGGGGAGAGGGGTCCGACGGGGCACAGCCGGTGGAGGGTGGTGCAGGAGGTGATGGAGGTCGAAGCTCGGCTGGTCGCTGACGGTGGTCGTGTGAAGAAGGAGATCTGGTAAAGAGGGGCTGAGGCGTGGGGTTCAGGGCGGCGAAATGTTGGGGTGGAGATGGGGCGGTCGCGGGTTGGGTTGCCTCCGGGAAGGCGACGGCGTCGGGTTGCGGAGGAGGGCTGTGAGGTTTTGGATAATTAAACGAAAATAATTAAAATAAATAATTATGGGTACTTAAAAATTAAACTAATTATAGAATAATTATCTACAAATAAAAATATACATGTTGTACTAATACAATAGTTGATACTAAATAGTCAAAATATACACATATTATATAATTAAACGAGAATAATTAATAATAAAAATATATTTACTTATATTTAAAATAAAATAATTATGAGATAATTATCTACACAATAGAACGTACTAGTTATGCTAATACGATAGATAATATGCAACAGTAGAAATAATACAATAAATAACACAAATAATATGTAATTAATAATATAACATATTATACAAAAATATACGTAATAATAATAATAATAATACTACGTATTATTCAAAATGATACGTAATAGTATTGGTAACACAACGGATAAATTCTAGAAATTTTCACCGCATGAAATTAATTTATAAATATTTAAATCATTTAAATAAATATAAAACTTATACTTTAAATCATAGAAAATTATAGGAATTCAAGAAAAATATAAATACTCTTTTAAAAATTATAATTAAATATTTTAAAATACTAGAAAATTATTTTAACTAGTATCAAAATTCATGGTCCTTACAGTGGTAGGTGGCTATGCAGGAGGAGATGTAGTCTCTTCATAGGAACGACACATGGGAGCTTGTCGAGCTTCCAAAGAGATGGAAGGCTATTGGTTGCAAGTGGGTGTATACGAAGAAGGAAGGCATTGAAGGCACTCTCGTGAGGTTCAAAACTAGGTTGGTTGCGAAGGGCTATACACAGGAGGAAGATATTGATTATAATGAGGTTTTCTCTCTGGTGGTGAAGCTTTCTTCGATTCGGATTTTGCTAGCTTTGGTGGCACAGTTTGGTTTGGATTTAGATCAATTAGATGTGAAAATAATATTTTTTTCATGGTGATCTTGATGAGGAAATCTATATTACTCAGCCATTAGGGTTCCGAGCTAGAGGGAAGGATAAATTGATTTGTAGGTTGATAAAATTGCTATACAGGCTTAAGCAATCTCTTCGACAGTGGTATAAGCAATTCGATGGGTTCATGATCGGTCATTCGTACATTAGGAGCCAGTTTGATCCTTGCGTGTACTATCGCAAGTTGAATGTAGGTGCGTACATTTACTTATTGCTTTATATCGATGACATGTTGGTTGCTTCTGTTTCCAGATCTGCCATAGATAGATTGAATATTCAGCTTTCGAACGAGCTTGAGATGAAGGATTTAGGTGAAGCGAAGCGTATTTTACGAATGGAGATTGGTAGAGACAGAGACAATAGCAAAATTTGTTTGACACATGTGGCTTATTTGAAGAAGGTTCTACAGCGGTATGTGAGCATGGAGACGAAGCGAGTTAGTGTACCTTTAGGAGCCCATTTGAATCTTTTAGATGACTTTTCACCGAAGACAATTGAAACTATAGAGTTGATGTAGAAGACTACGTATGCGAGCATAGTTAGAAGTTTGATGTACGTCATGGTTTGTACGATCTCGGATTTGTCACAGGCAATGAGCATGGTTTCGAGATACATGCACGACCCGGGTCTGGGTTATTGGAATGTCGTGAGATGGATTTTGAGGTACATTCGAGGTACTCTCAATGTTGGTTTGGTTTTTAAGCGGGACACTAGCGGTGGGTAGCTATATATTGGATACGTAGATTCGGACTACGTTGGACATTTGGATAAACGTTGGTCGATGACGGGATATGTGTTCACTTTGACCCATGTGCTGATATGTTGGAGATGCACCTTGCAGTCTATGGTGGTTTTATCGATGATGAAGGCAGAGTATATAGCGATTATGGAAGCTGTTAAGGAGGCGATTTGGCTTCGAGGACTTTTGGAGGATCTTGGTATTTCGCAGCGATCCATCACCATTTATTGTGATAGCATGAATGCTATGTATTTAGCGAAGAATCAGGTCTTTCATGCGAGTACGAAGCATATTGACGTTCATTATCACTTCGTTCGAGATGTTCTTGAAGATGGGGATGTGGAGCTCGTGAAGGTCCACACAAAAGATAATCCAGTAGATATGCTCACAAAGATGGTTCTGAGAAACAAGTTCGATCATTGTAGAAACTTGTTGCAAATTCGTGATTGTTGAGGTCGTTGGCGGCCATTTGAATGAACTACGGGCGGTTTGATCCCTTGGGAGAGGAGGTACGTAAGCAACCATATTGGTGTAGTCGGATTTGATGAGACGGCGTAGTAGTGCTCATGTTTGGTGTCGGGTCAGTTTTGGGAAAACTTCACCGAGGTGGAGAATTGAAGAAACGACGAAGAAGAACATGCATCATGAAGTGCACAGGTGTGGCTTTGGGTCGGTCGACCGATGACATAGGCCCTGTCAACCGATAGACTGTAGGATTACAGGGTCTGAAACCATGTTCTGGTCGGTCAACCGAACGCGTTCGACCGGTCGACCGAAATTCTGGTCGGTCGACTGAACGCTTATGGTCGGTCGACCGGAAACGTGCACGATTACAGGGCTAGAATTTGTTTTTGGTTGGTCGACCGCAATGCTATGACCGGTCGACCGCGAAGCGGGTAATTGGGCTGTTTTGGTTTTCCCAGTTGGTTTTGAATTGGTGTTTGATATAAATACAAACACGTTCTTTAGGGTTTCAAAAAGAGAGAATTAGCAGTCTTTTGAGCACTCTGAGAGGGGGATATTATGAGGGAGTTGAGAGCTTTGGTTAAGATTATATTTTGAGTGATTTTGTGAGTTGTAACCCGTTGTATTTCTCCTCCATATAGTGAAATCTCCCCATCCTCTCCCCGTGGACGTAGATAATTGTCGAACCACGTAAATCTCTGTGTTTGGTTTGATTTGTGTCACATTTGATGGATTGCACTCGTGATTTGATTTGGTTCTCTTCTCTTGTGTCTTATCGACTGGTTTGGTGTTCGAGCACGCTTCCGCATGGCGCGCTACAGATGTCGAGAACTATGACAATCAAATACTCAATTATGTGTTTTGAGCTGGCTTTGGATCAAACAGTTATGAGACGAGTATTCTTCTTGAGATGTCTTTATATTAAAGAGAGAAAAAGAAAAGCCGAACTGGATCAAAAAATTTCCTTAGCCCAAACATGCCCCCATGAGACAGTAAGTGAGCGTTTAATGCGTTTCTTCAAAGAAATTTTGAGTAAAAAGTTCTCACATTATCGACCGCATTTTACAGTCTTTTTCTATGTTTGGGACATTATTTCCATAGATCCTTGAAATCGTATGCTTCTTTTAATATAAACAGGTACGAAGATAGAAAATTTATATGGCCAACGTCCTAAAACATAAAAGTGGTTGACCATATTCAGATATATAGATGTCAAGAAATAGACTGGCAACTACTAGCAGCAATTGTCCTCGGTTTTTAATAAGGCGTGCCATGGCTCATGATTCATGCAAATGGTATTAAATTTCACTGCCATGGCAACTGGCATCAGCTTTCTAGTGCATATCTGGACATCTATGACGATGAGTGGGTAATATAATTTCTATTTATGAGAGTAGTGCAACGTGTCCCATGATTTTATTGGCATCAGCGATCCATTTGTGATGAGCTACCTAGCTACTGCATAGACTGTAGATATAAACAATGTGTTTACCCAACATTTTTAATTGATTTCGCAGAACACAAGCTCTACTAATTCCTCACTTCATTTGCTGCTTAATTTTCTTCTCTTTTAAGCCTGGAGGTTGCCGGACACTGCTCCTACCCTCGTTCTCAAGGTACCGAATTGGTCGAGTGATGTGAAGTCTTAAGATTTAAGTCTTGACACGATGTAAAGTCCTAAGATTTAAGTCTTGACGTGTAACTGTTGTTCAGCAAATTTTTACGTACCGAGAGGGTATATCTCAGTATATATGCACTGTAGATTTCAAAATCTTGCTTATACTACCCAGCTCACTGTTACCCTATCTCTCTCATTCAGGCGATCCAAATCAACTCTAAACAATAAGCCTAAAATCATTAGAAACATCGTTCATTTTTTTCCATAGATTAAACCCGGCTAGAAAAATCTCAGCAACCGGCTATTTAACTCCCGAGTCCTGGGGGCATTTATCCTCAGCTCATCATCTGCTGCCCTCCACCAAATCCTGTGCGCTGTGGCCCCCCGGTCATCACTCCAAATCTCACTCCTTTTTAATTCCCAACTACTATCAATTAAACATTAATATTAGCCTAAACAATTCATTATAATCGTGCATATAAACCCCTCTTCAAGTCATGTTATTCAACAGAGGTTGAGACCTTTGGCGCCAATAGATTCCATCTGCTGCTGCCACAGACTTCTGCTCATCAAACACATATCAGGATGGAATCTTTGGAGATTCCATCGCCGGTTGCTGAGAGGTTGGAATCTACTGTTGCAGCGGCGACGAAAGTTCAGAAGGTCTACAGGAGCTACAGGACCAGGTGCAGGTTAGCAGACTCTGCTGTGATCATTGAGGAGCTCTGGTAAGTTCAACATTCTTTTCTATTTTTTTAATTAATTTTTTTTTTTCAAATTTCGAGTTTATTTTGAACTAATTTGGACTTTTTTTTGGGTTCTTCAATAAAAAAGGTGGCAAGCGCTGGAATTCGCTACCTTGAACCACAGCGCGGTTTCTTTCTTCAATTTCCTCAAGCCTGAATCAGCCGTTTCAAGATGGAATCGAATTAGTCTGAATGCGTCAAAGGTTTGTTTGTTGGATTTAAATCTAATTAAATCTATTTGTGGGCACATATGATTAATCATTGTGTATTGCTATCCTTAATGATAACCCACTTAAAGTGATCAATCAATTTGGGTTAATGAGTATTTAAATAAATCATAGGCTAAATGTGCAGATACCAGGTTGTAATTGTAATTTGATGAGGGGCCAAATTATAAATTTTCAACACCTATATATATGGGGTTATGATCCCTAATCTAGGGTTAATCACTCTCATTCTCTTATCCCCATCTAATTAAAGAGAGTCATAAGAGAGAAACCCTAAGTTTAGAAGATCATGAAAACCCTAACTCAGGTCCAAGCAATGGATTCAGGTATAAGCTTCCGCTCTTAATGTTTAATCTCTATGTTTTAATCACGTTTATGTCCTACAAGTGGTATCAGATCCTCCTGTGATCAATTCTTAGGGGTTTAAGTTTTAAAATTGGGTTTTTTTATCTTAAATCTCTGGATTCAGAACTGTTCACGGATGAACAGTAAGAGGTTCCTTTTTTGTATGATTTTTTCTTTCGATTTTGGATCTGTTGCACTCATGAACTGTAAAGTTCATCTCTTTTTTGGTTTGATTCTGTTTTGGATGTGTGGATCAGAAATAGATTCAAGTTTTGGATCTGGATTGAGTTCAAAATCGACAGAAAAAATGGGTTTTTTGTTTTGGTTTGTCGTCGTTCTTCAACTGTTCGCCGGAGCTGAATCGACGGCAGCCCCACTGTCAGTGGCGGGGGGGGGGTTTTGAACGAAATCCCAAGGGGTGTTCGTTAGCTGCAGCTCAGGCAACGGCGCTTCAGATCTGAACCCTAATGGGTGAAAGATAAATTAGGGCAAAAAAGGAGGAGGTTACCTCGATTTTGGGCGAGCTTCGTGCTCAATTTCAGGTGAGCTTCGTGCTCAATTCAGTCAAGCCTCGGGCTTGGAAGTTTCAGTGAACTTCGGTTTGCTTCTCAGATGAGCCTCGTGCTCAATTCCAACGAACCTCGTGTTCGTTCTCAGACGAGCCTCATGCTCGATTCAAGCGAGCCTCATGCTCAATACAGTCGAACCTTGTGTTCAAACAATCATGTGAACCTCGGGTTCAACTCAAGTGAGCTCGAACCTCATTGTAGGCGAGCTCGACGTTCGGATCTCAGGCAAACCTTGGGTTCGAAATCGAGCATCAGATCTACTCGAGCTTCATCTGCTCATCAGGGAACTTCAGGCGAGCTCTTCGAGGTTCGAGCTTTGGCTGAGCTTCGGCTTGGAAACTTGACCTTCGTCGGCTCATTTGGGAAGTTCAAACGAACTTCGTGTTCACTGAGGGAAAGCTTCAATTTTATCGAGCTTCAGCCGTTAATTTTAGGCGAGCTTGAGATTTTTCTCGTCGGCTCATTTGGGATTTGACGAGCTTCGTCGGGTTTAAGAAGAACTGCGGGGATTTTCCCTATTGAGAAGAAATGAATGCATTTCTTCTTCTGCCCAAAGTCTTCCTAAGACAATTAAGTCAATTTTGGGCCTTAATTCGTTATGGGTCCAGTTTGGTATACTTAATTAAATTAAGTTATGAGGCTCTAATTAAGCTATTAAAATTTAAATTAAATTAAATTAATTTTAATTTGATAGTTAATCAATTATTTAATTCAAATAATATGACACTAAGGCATTATATTTGTCTCTCATTCCAAATGATTGATTGAAACAAGAAGTTGCCAAAGTAACCTCTCTGTGTAGATTGTTCATGAGGGATGTTAGATGGTTGTGTGTATGTTTTCGTATAAATATTTAATCGGCCCAAAGGAATGTCAATATTTGTTTAGACTGTATACACATCTGTGATGATAAACGTGTGACAATTATAAGGTTTACATGTGAATAATGAATAGATCCAAGAGAGTTTCACTATTTGACATGAGTTATTGTCAATGTTTGATCATTGCAACAAGGTATCACTTACAAGTTAATATTACTGTCCAAATACTTGATATTAATGTTGTACCAGATATCTTGAGATGGAATTTGTCATTATTTGAATTTTATTGATTACAAATTACGGTTAATAATATGAGTATCTTTTGTTTATTTTAGCTAATGCATCTGCTGTAACAATTTCTACTAACATCAACTCAATTCTCATGCTCAATGGGACTAATTTTCAAGGTTTGGAAAGAGAACATATTAATTATTCTTGACTGCATGGATCTAGACCTTGCATTAAGAACTGAACAACCCCAACCTCTCAATGAGGATAGCGCTACTGATGTAAAGAAGGAGTATGAGAAATGGGAGCGTTCAAACCACATGAGTCTTATGATCATTAAGCGCGGCATTCCGGAAGCCTTCAGGGGCATATAATCCGAAGGGATTACTAAGGTTAAATATTTCCTCGCCGAAATTGAGAAGCATTTTGCGAAAAACGATAAGGTAGAAATAAGCACGCTTTTAGCTTGCTTGATTTCGATGAAGTATAAGGACAAATGAAATATCAGGGAGTACATTATGGAAATGTCTCATATTGCTTCAAAACTTAAGGCGCTTAAACTCGATCTTTACGATGAGTTATTAGTGCATCTGGTTCTGTTGTCTCTTTCTACACAGTTCAATCAGTTCAAGGTCAGTTATAACTGCCAAAAGGAAAAATAGACTCTAAATGAGCTCATTTCATACTGTGTACAAGAAGAAGACATGTTAAAGCAAGATAAGATAGAAAGTGCTCATTTGGCTTATGCCTCTAAAGATAAGGGCAAGAAAAGAAAGAATGATAATGAAGCTGTTAAGGGTCCAGTTCAGAAGAAACAACATAAGGATAATCAGTGTTGCTTCTTCTGTAACAAGCCTAGATATGTAAAGAAGGATTGTACCAAATATCATGCTTGACGTGCTAATAAGGGTACGTTCCTTATTTTGGTCTGTTCTGAGGTTAATTTAGCTTCAGTACCTAGGAACACTTGGTGGTTAGACTACGGTGCTACTATTCACATAAGTGTTTCTATGCAAGGTTGCCTGAGCTACTGAAAGCCAAGTGATGTTGAAAGACACATCTTTGTGGGTGACGATCAATCGGTAGATGTGAAAGCAATTGGGCATTTTAGATTACTATTAGGAACTAGTTCTTATTTGGACTTAAAAGATACTTTTGTAGTACCATCTTTTAGACGGAGTTTGGTTTCTGTTTCTGTATTGGACAAATCAGGTTATCATTGTTCATTCGGAAATAGTCAATTCAGTTTACCTTTTAATTCAAATATTGTGGGAACCGGTTACTTGAGTATTTGTGATAACCTATATTTGTTTGATACAATTGCTTCTTATAATGAATCCTTGCACGTGGAATCACGTGGTACTAAACGTAAATTAAATAAGGAAAATTCGACGACATTATGGCATAAGAGCTTGGGTCATATCTCAAAAGGTAGAGCTGAGCGTCTTGTGTCTGATAGCATTTTGGATTCCCTCGATTTTTTAGATTTCAACGTATGTGTTGAATGTATTAAGGAAAAACATACTAAAGTTAAGAGATTAGGTGCCAACAGATCTTTGAAAGTCTTAGAATTGATACATACAGATATTTATGGGTCATTCCCTACAAAATCTTAGAATGATCAACAATATTTTATATTATTCATAGACGATTACTCACATTATGGGTGCCTATATCTCATTCATGAGAAATCTGAGTCTCTGGACATGTTCAAAGCCTATAAAGCCGAAGTTGAGAATCAATTCAACAAAAGAATTAAAACCGTTAGATCTGATCGTGGTGGTGAGTACTATGATAGATATGATGGTTCAGATGAACCTTATAAGCTTTGGACTGGTCGAAAGCCCAATTTAAAGCACTTACATATTTGGGGATGTCCAGCTGAGACAATGCCTTATAGGCCAAATAAAAAGAAATTGGACTCCAAAATAGTTAGCAGCTACTATATTGGGTATTCTAAACCTTCAATGAGCTACAAGTTTTATGATCTTACACTCAGAAATATTTTTGAGACGGGAACAATAACATTCTTTAAGGATGTTGAGTTTGACGGAGAAATAAGGTTAGAGACATTGTTTTTAGGAGGAATTGGCTTCAGACCCAATCCATACAGTTGCTTTTAACAATATTCAGGTTTCTATACCTGTTGTTGCTCAAGAAGTAAATCTGAAACCTCAAGATGATAATGTTGAACAACTCCATGTTCCAGAAAAACAAACTCAATAACCTCAAGAATCAGTACCATTAAGGAGATCCACGAGAGAAAGGAAAAATGCTATTCCGGATGACTATATTGTATTTCTCTAAGAATATGAGGAAAGTAATGGAATATTAGAAGATAATCCAATCAACTTCCTTCAGGCCATAAAAAGTTTTAACTCTCAACAGTGGATTGATGTCATGAATGAAGAGTACAAGTCTATGCAAGACAATAAGGTTTGAGAACTTGTCCAATTATCAGAATGTGCAAAACCAATTAGTTGTAAATAGATTTTTAAAACCAAGAGGGATACAAACGGTAATATGGAGAGGTATAAGGCACGTCTTGTAGCTAAAGACTTTACTCAAAAGGAATGTATTGTTTATACAGAGACTTTCTCTCCGGTTTCATCGAAAGACTCTTTCAGAATAATCATGGCACTTGTTGCTCATTATGATCTTGACTTACATCAGATGGATGTTAAGACTGTATTTCTCAATGACGACATTGATGAGATAATTTATATGGTGCAACTAGAAAACTTTGTGTCAGGAGACCCAAAGAATATGATTTGCAAATTAAGAAAATCCATCTATGGACTCAAGCAAGCTCCTCGTCAATGGTATTATAAGTTTCAACAAATAATTATCTTGTTCGGTTTTGAGATGAACATTATTGATGATTGTGTATATCACAAGTTTAGTGGGAGTAAATATATTTTTCTGGTTCTGTATATCGATGACATATTACTTGCCACTAATGATATAGGCATGTTGCACGAAACCAAGAGATTTCTATCAAAGAATTTTAAGATGAAAGATCTTGGGGACATTTCTTTTATATTAGGAATCCAGATACATCGAGATCGCTCTCGAGGTATTCTTGGATTATCACAAAAAAGCTATATCGATAAAGTACTTAAAATTTGGCATGCAAGACTACAGATCAGGAGATACCCCTGTTGCTAAAGGTGACAAGTTTAGTCTCAATCAGCGCCCTAAAGGTAACCTTGAAATTCAGGAAATACAGAAGATTCATTATGCTTCGGCTGTAGGTAGTGTAATGTATGCTCAGGTATGTACGCGTCCGGATATTACGTACATTGTTGGGATGTTAGGCAGATACTTAAGTTGGGGTATTCTTAGGGATAACCTGGTCGGTATAAGAGAGATGAACAAGAAAGGTAAATTCGAACCCAAGTGGGAAGGACCATTTGTAATAGACACAGTCTATTCAAACGGCGCTTACCGTCTGATTTCCCTAGAGGGCGCCAGGCAATTAAGGTATGTACGCGTCCGGATATTACGTACATTGTTGGGATGTTAGGCAGATACTTAAGCAACCCTGGTATAGATCTTTGGATAACAGTCAAAAGGGTTATGAGGTATCTTTAGAAAATAAAAGATCATATGCTCATATACAAAAAATCAGAACAGTTGGAGGTCATTGGGTACTCTGATTCTGATTTTGCTGGATGCCAAGATAGCAGAAAGTCTATATCAGGCTATATTTATATGTTAGCAGAAGGAGCTATATCATAAAAAAGTATCAAACAGACACTTGTAGCTTCCTCCACTATGGCAGCAGAATTTATAGCTTGCTATGAGGTATCCAATCAGGGAATATGATTGCAAAATTTTATCATGGGATTGCGCATTCTGAAAAGTGTGGAAAGATCACTAAGGTTATATTATGACAATAAATTTACAGTAATGTATTCTAATAAAAACAGGAGCTCAACTAAGTCAAAATATATTGATATTAAGATCCTGGTTGTGAAAGAAAGGATACAGAGTGGACAGATATTCATAGAGCACATTGGGACAAACTCCATGATAGCTGATCCTCTTACCAAAGGATTGCCACCTAAGGTCTTTCATGAGCATACTGCTCATATGGGTGTGGTATTATTTGATGATATCATGATTTAGTGGGAGTTTGTGATTGTGGTGCTTTATGTTAGGTCGTATTATCTGATCAAAATAAAGTTTGTCAGTTCATACACTCTGGTACATAATGTTGAGGTTGACCTCACTAAAGTTTAAGGGAGGATCAGTTGAAAATAAACATGTACTGATCACATTGCATGTAATTTTTATGCTGCATATCTATGATTGATCTATGTCGTTTGATTGTATTGGTATATGTGACCATTGATGGGTCGACTCACGATAAATGTGACGAATGCCACTTTGATACTATATTGATATAGTCAATGAACGAGATTGTTTGGAAATATTTTTTTCAGTGATAGCAATTTTGAGCTCATAAGGTTATACATAATTTAAGGAATCATATGGTGCCCAAGTGGAAGATTGTTGGATTTAAATCTAATTAAATCTATTTGTGGGCACATATGATTAATCATTGTGTATTGCTATCCTTAAGGATAGCTCACTTAAAGTGATCAATCAATTTGGGTTAATGAGTATTTAAATAAATCATGGGCTAAATGTGCAGATACCAGGTTGTAATTGTAATTTGATGAGGGGCCAAATTATAAATTTGCAACACCTATATATATGGGGTTATGGTCCCTAATCTAGGGTTAATCACTCTCATTCTCTTATCCCCATCTAAAGAGAGTCATAAGAGAGAAACCCTAAGTTTAGAAGATCATCAAAACCCTAACTTAGATCCAAGCAATGGATTCAGGTATAAACTTCCGCTCTTAATGTTTAATCTCTATGTTTTAATCACGTTTATGTCCTACATTGTTGTCATTTCTCATTCCTTTTTTATTTAAAATTCTCGATATATATGCAATTAGTGATCAAGAAGAATAGATGATAAATGTTTTCGATTTGGCTTCTTGCAGGTTGGACAGGGTTTATCAAAAGATTCCAAAGCTCTGAAGCTGGCTTTTCAGCACTGGATTGAAGCCGTGAGCCTCCTTTGTTTAGTTTTCAGTATTTTCTTTCATTTGGCTACTAGTTATTTTCCTCCTGAAATGTTAACCAGTGAGTAACAATAAATTGTTAGTATAGATTGATCCAAGGCACCGTTACGGGCATAATCTGCACATGTATTATGAGAAATGGAGTGAAAGTGAT